TGGCTGGTGCTTCAGCATGTAGATGTGGCTGACTGGGTTCTTTGCCTGTCAGGTGTGCACAGAGCGTGCTTAGAGGCCTTTCTTTTTCAAAGGTTTGTAACTTCAGGAAGCAAAACCTTCCTTTATTTGTTGCTTTTTCAACCAGGCAAATAGCAGTTCAAGGGTAGCCTGCAGGCTGAGCTTGAGTCTTCAGCAGCTTTGTGTTGTCTGGTCCTAATTGAAAGATTCCTCATTCCTCCAGTGATTGACTCTGCTCTTGTGAGCTGATAAGCTTTGATTATTAAAAGCTTTTAGAAAAAAGATATCATCAAAACAGGGTTCCAGTGAAAACAGCAAGTACCTGCCTAGTACACAGGTGCCTTCTGCAGTAAATAGCGCTTCTGGTTGCACAGATTTCAGTTCCATTTTCCTTCTATGTACCTCACTGATTGTATGATTATCATGTCTGAGCAGTCTGGATGAGTGAAAGTGGGGGATGGAAGTCAAAACTTGCTGGACTGATTTTCTGTTTATGCAGCTCTTAATAATGACTTTTCAGTGTACTTTAATAGCTTTCTGTGAGGTCTCTGATCTACATCTCTTATAAAGGGAAACTCTAAAAGAACTAGTGTACTGAAACCTTTGATCTATTAGATTTCAGTCAGAGGGCCTTCTGATAACTGGTGCTTCCTTCTTCTGTTTGGAGTCATAACCCAGTATAACATGGGTTGGTCTGCACCGATATAAATTACGCTGTTTAATTTCAGATTGTAGAATGCAAATTTAGATCTGTTTCCCACTGAAGATTATTAGCATAACATTATGTAAAGGAGTGAATTTCTGTGATCATTGTGTATAGTATAGGTTTTGTTTTGAAGAAAAAGGAAAGAAATAACATGAGAAATGGAGAAGAATTGATGTGACCATCACATGACTGTTTGGGTTTTCTGGTTTTTGTTGTTGTTTGTTTTTCCCTTCACATTCCTAAAATATTTGCATTACTTGATACACACAAAATACTGAGCAAGGTTGAGGAACTGAGGCTGGAAGATGAAAGAGCCATGAAGATACTCAAGATATGCGACCCATTATATGAAACCTCTGAAGTGATGAATATTAATGTTCTTTTAAATTTTTAATTTTTAAAGTCTTTTTCGTCTTTAGAAAAAAGAAAAGAAAAGCTTGGGGGAAGACTTCTTCCCAGAACAATGGTGCAGTCTGTTATCTGCTCCTTTGCGCTGTAAAGCACTGAATGTTCAGCCAATATAGTGCTCTGGTTGGCTTAGCATTCTTAACCTTAATTTTGAATAGAAGGTGCCTTGTGCTGCTGACGTAATTAGGGCCTTTTGTAAATCACTGTTGCAGGCAGTCTGCTGTTGCATTTCACTGCATTTCTCAGAGGGATGCAGTGCAAAAGTGTCAGACTAACTTTTTGAACCTCTCATCAGGCTAAGTGTTTTCATTATTGGAGTATTTTATTCGAGTGAATCTTGCTTAGTTTTCCTTTGTAGATAATAAGCCCTAAAACAGTTTTGGAAATGAAACAGTGTTTCTGCTGGATGAAGTTTGAATAGGGAGCCCTTAAAGTGGGAGGTGCTTCCTTAGGAAGAAAGAGAGAAAAAGGAAAAGTGAGAGAGTTGGATATGACCAATTGACTTTAAATTCAGTTCCCTCTGTGATACAGAAATACTGTTATCTGTGTCTTCTGTCACATAAATTCATGTCAGAAAGTTAGAGGTCGTCAAGCTGGTTTCGTATTTGTGGTTATACTTCATAACTCTGCAGCATTGTTTGGAGGCATAAAATCCCCTTACCTTCCATGTAAGCCTCTTAGGGGCTGTTGCACTCTTGCCTCTGCAGAGGCACAGGGTTTTATCTCACTTCTGCCTCTCTCCTGTCCCCTGGGGCAGGGTTCAGTGCAGGCCATTACATCCCCTCCTGATGCAGTGTTTTATATCTGTGATGTCAGTGTGATACATGGCCTTGCACTGTCCTTGATGGCAAACACAGCACTATTAATAGTCAGTGAAGTTGACTTGCTCACCGCTGCATTCACGCTGCCCATCCATTGCACTTCAGACCCTGGAGTGCCTTAAGGGCCCTGTTAACACCCCAAGGGCTGACTGGTCCCATAAATGAACATATCCATGTTTGTAACCCAACTCCCATAGTGGCTGTGGTGTGGGGATCGTGGGTGCTGCCTCCAGGGCCTGGCTCTCCTGAGGAGGGAACATGGCATTACAGTAGTAGTGCACCAAACTGCTGTGTTGGGTAGTTTGAAATGCTGGGTACTTCAGGGGGGCTGGCATCAGCATCAACATCACTTCAGATTCTGGGCAAGGAGGGGGAGGGTGGGACACGTACCCCTGACTACCCCTGACCCCTTTACTTCACACTGAGACAGCACAGCATGAATGAGCATAAAAGACAGCTGCAGCTTTCTTCCAGTGGCCACAGGGCATTAAGGCTTTCCATGCTTGGGAGCAAAGCGTGGTGGTTGTCTTTACACTCTCTTCCACCTGCACGGGCTGGAGAGGCACCCTCAGCAAAAGAGCTTTGCCTTTCTTCTGGGACTTGGCACTGACAGTGATCAGGTGCTGTCTGTACCACTGCCTTGTTCCCAGCAGGAAAGGAAAAGAGGCGGGGTTTGTCCTCCAGGTGTTGCGAAAGTGGCGATTGCTGTGGCGTATTCCTGATTCGGGCTCCCCTGTGAAAGCTGAGGCAGAGAGCAGAGGGCTGTGCTTCTCGTGACTAATGAATGAATGATGTCACCAGGTTGGTTCCCGAGGCAGGAAATGCATCCAAAACAGTTTAGTTTCAATACAGAAAGTGCAGTTACGTGCAGAGTAAGCTCAAAGTAGAAAGGAATTCTTTCACCACCAACTTTTTGGTCCAATCTATGGCTATACTGTAAAAAGTAGAAGAAAAAAAAAAAATCAAGCGGGTATTAGTCCCTGCCGTTCCCCACTAAAACAAACAAAATAGCTACTTTCTGTCTTGCTGCATACTGGCCTTTCGGTGTACTTGCCCATCCTGGGAGGGAGCATGAGAGCTGCGCTCCCCACTAGCACACTGCGGGGTGTCTCGGACATGGATCCGCTCGTGTGGCCCCGTCCCGCGGGCGCGCTGCCCAGCGGCGGAGCGGGCCGGGACCGCTGCGGGTGTGATGCGGGGCTCTGCTGCGACACGGCGCTAGCGACACAACAGAGACTTGCCCGCAGGACAGAAAACGGGGGCACCCCCACGCCCAACAAATTCCTGCGTGTATGAGGATGCCTCTGGCTTGGCTAAGCGTTGGCAGGAGTGCAGCCGTAACATTGCACAGCACGCATGCCTTCCCCAGAGCAACCGGGATTCCCCCTCCTCTCCTTTCCGGAGCCCACTTCTGAAAGAGCTGGCTCATCCCTGCTGTCAGATGAAGCCGTTTCCTGAACGCGCGGGTTTGAGTCACTTAGGCTGGATGAGGCTTTAACTCCTCCCTCACTGGGCTCGAATTTGTGCGTAGCCGGGGCACCGGGCACCGGGGAGCGGGGGCGGCGCCGGCCGTGCTCGCTCGCCGCCGGCGCGGTGGCACCGCCGGGGCCCGGAGCGGAGCCGGACCGGGCCGGGCGGGGAGCGGCGGCGGAGAAGTTCAAGTGCCCAAGTTGCAGGCGATGACATCAGCCGGGCTGCGGGCGGGACCGGCACCGGCGCCGGGGCAGCAGCACACGCGTGCCGGGCTCCCCGCACCCCGCCCCGCCGCCGCCCCAGGGGTCTCGAGCGCCCCGAGGTCGTCATAAAATCCCCACATTTCCTTTGTAATTCCTTTTTTTTTCTTGGGGGGTGGGGGAGGCGGGAATAATTTGGAAGTCTGATAGTGTGTGGGAAATGATTACATCAGTCGGAGGGAGGGCTAGGATTGGTCTGCACAGTGTGGTTTGATTCACTACCGCAAAGATTGCGTGTAACCCTTTGAGTGGAGCTCTGGCAGAGTTGTTTCCCTCCCCAGAAACAGTCCCCATAGCAGGGGCTACGTGACAGGTAGGGTACGGCCGCCCGGCACCCCAGGCGCCCAGCCGCAGGCTGCAGAGGGTCGGCGGAGGCAGAGAACTAACTCTCAAGAGGCAATCCCCATTTAAAATGCCATCTTGTTCTTCCGACTGCTGCCTTTTACGTGCCGTTGAGGTAAGATTTTCCATATCGAATTACCCTCTAGGTTTTTGTTAGACTCTCCTTCTCTAGCTAGGATGCGGAGCGTTTTAAACGCGGAGCTGATTTAAATCTGGGACCTGCACATTTGCCCGGAGAAATAATTTTGCGGGAAGTGTCTCTCGCTTGAGCAGAACAATGCAAAGAGGAAAGCATCTGTATAATTCAGGAGGTGGGGGAGAAGGTTCTTGACTTGTTCTCTCATCCCCATTGATATTTAGGATGTGCAGCGTGTGCACATTTGGTTTCAAACTACTTTCAAGCTAGGATCAAAAGAGAAGTCAGGGCAGGGAGAGAAATGTGTGCACTGTGCTAGGTAATTGATTTGCCGGCAAACTGTGAGTGGGACTTCCACACATGAAACAATCAAAAGTTAGTGGGGAACAAGAGAGCCATTTTTAATCTTTGGGGTCTTGGCCTGCTCCTCTGTGAATGTTCAGAGGCCTCCAGTGGGATCGCAATGAAAATTGTGTGTGTTTGACTGGATGTGATTTCTCTCGCCCACTGTTGCCAAAGTATTCTCTCGACATTGTTTCACGTTTGCTTGCCTTACACAGCTTTATACAGAACCTGCTCTCTCACTTTTCCTGTGTACGTGGTCATATTAACCCTGCTGAATCTTTGTTTAGTGCAGGGAGGTGTTGGGGAGGGGGGAGGGGAAATAGGTCTAGGGGGCATCGAGAGAAAGTGTTATAAAGTGAATCATCCATTTCATTTGTCCTGCCGAGGTGCTTGGAACCCTCACACCAAGAGGATGATGCTTTTCTACAGTAGCTGTGTGGTTTGCCTATGTTCAGAGCTGTTGATCTGTAAGTGTACCCTTTATGTTGCAGGATGTAAAAGTCTTTAGTGAAGATGGAACAAGCAAAGTGGTCGAGATTCTAGCAGACATGACAGCCAGGGACCTCTGTCAGCTGCTCGTTTACAAAAGTCATTGTGTGGATGATAACAGCTGGACTCTAGTGGAGCATCACCCTCACCTAGGATTAGGTAGGGAATGGTCAAAGGGGTGGCATGGTTACCTGGGAACATAAAACATGTAATTCATATAAATGTGCTTCCAGACGGAACGTTTTCTTTTCCACTGCTTTTATTTGTACAATTAGCTGAAGTCACATATGTGCTTTCTGTGTATTACAATTTGATGTGTTAAGCGTTTAAGCCTTTATTTAAAAGTCCTTCCCTTATTTCCCATCCTCTGGGTTTTTTTATTATAAGAAGAAAAAGAATTGTCTAATCTTCACGCTGGCGCTTTGTTGCTACCTTGCTGTGTCTGAAGCTATTGCAAATAAACAGCTTAGGCAAATTAAGCTTGATCCTTAGAGTATGGTCCTATGAAACAGCTCAGCTCATCACCAGCTGGGAGACCTGGGTGAACAGACTCAGCCGTACATACCTACAGTAATGCTTATGAAAGCTAGACATGCTGAGGTGGGGGAGGGGGTGGGCTAAACTTGACTTCAGGCAGGGAAAAAATGGTGGCACCACCCGCAAATCCATGGGCAATTTCTGGACCAGAGGTGGTATCTGCTCTCCAGGCAGCAGCTCCTCCACCTGATTGAAATTAAGGTGTCATGGTTACAGTTTCAAGAAGGCAGCAAAAGGAATAGCTGTGGGGAATTAAATAACACCGTGAATTGGTTTAATTACAGTACCTGAAAGTATCTCATGTTATTCAGTCTTGCTTTTCCTGTTATTTTGTGGCACTGATTAGTTACAGGGTTCTGCTGTGCAGCTTGCAACAGCTTATCGCTCAGATAACACTATCTACGATTCTCCATGGAATACAATAACGCTTTAAAAAGTGTAGCATTCGGAGTATTAGACAATATGCTTCATGGGCAATGTTTTTTCTAGAAAACAGAAGAAGGCAAATCATAAGCTGCAATCGCCAACACTGGAATTATGAATGCTATCTGTAGCTAACAGAGGGGGTTTTATGTCTAAAAATGTAATTCAGAACCCTTACGAATAAAAAAAGGAAATTATTTGCTGGAAATGTGATGCTCTAAACCAATACTCTTAAACAATACTAATAAATTCACTGCTCTGCAGACTAACACTTAAAAAAGCCCCAAATAATGTAATTCAGAACCCTTACGAATAAAAAAAGGAAATTATTTGCTGGAAATGTGGTGCTCTAAACCAATACTGTTAAACACTAATAAATTCACTGCTTTGCAGACTAACACTTAAAAAAGCCCCAAACACACAGGATATCCCGATTAGTTAATGTTTTTATTATCTCTCCTAGTGTAGAAATATATGAAAAAATTAACATGAAACACTCACTGGTCTGTGTCTGTGATATACTTTCAATTCTGAGGACATAGGATGAGGTGAAGAATTAAGGTATAAATTACAGAATCTTTATCTCCATAGCTTAATACGCCACATGCACTTCTAAAAACCTTTACAAATATTCAGTTTTATCAATGCTCATTAAACTACCAGGCTCTCTTTTTCTATATTCTCTTTCCCATCATTGCTGATTACCAAGGTATTGTGTAAACAGAAGCCTTCTCCTTTGTAACCAACATCCTTCTCCTGCCAGATTCATTCAATGATGCCACAATTCAGTGTTTGTGACATCACAATAGCTTCCATGGTGACTAATTGTGCTGTCAAACTCTGGTGTGTGACATCTCTGAATGAATCGGGCAGGAGGCTGATTAGGAAATCAAAAGCTTCTGTTTACACACAAATAACTTGGTAATTAACAATGATGGGAAAAGAGCAAGATACTTATCGGGCTGCATTTATATACATGGGGACCTGCCTGCCTTGGACCTCTGTCTCACACTGAAGCACAAAGCAGGCCCCCAGAGAAGCGGGGTGTGCAGGTTGGGGCTTCAGCAGCCACCAAACTTGGTTCCACAGGGACGGCCCCAGGGCTGTCCGCTGTAGGCCATGAAGTAGATCTCTGTGAGAAGTAATGCAGCCTTTGGGGGTGTAAAGCCAACAGACAAAAAAATATTTCAAGAATAAAAAAAATGTAATTATACAGGTTTCACATATTTGAAAGGATGAGGACAGGAAAGGGAATAAATTCGTTCATTTAACAGGAGACAACATCATCCAGTTTATTAAATTTGGCATCTTAATTATATATATTCAATAAACTTTAAATACCAACTGTCCACTAGTTTTGGTTGCAGTTTGAATTTTTCATTATTTGGCTGCTTATTCCTAGCTCCTCTGTAGCTTACATGCTTTCCTGTATTTCGGAGACTGTCAGATCAAGGCAGTAATGTGACTGCAACCTGGATGAAGTTATCATCAGGCACATTATGGTCCGTATTTGCTCCTCTAGATGTAAGATTGCTAGTATAAGTATGAAACAATGGTGAATAAATACATAGTGTGAAGAGAAATATGGTTAAAGAGCAGTCAGAATTGTGTGTTTCTAGAAGACATTATTTCTTATACAATACATCCTTGCTGACATAATGCTCCAGGTGGTAGTCTTGAAGCCCAGCAAAAGAGAGGAGTTCCTTCATTTAGTTCACTCTGGTTTTTTCCTCCCTGTATTTTGCCTAATAGTACTTTCCAAAAGAGCTTTTCTTGCAGAACCAATTCATTGTTTTACTATTGGACAGACTGAGACAAGATGAAATTTTTTAAGCCAGCTTCATATTTATCACGGCATTGGTCTTTGAGGTCCCACTTTGTAGGGAACCCCCACCTCACTGTTTACTTCACACACATAGCCAAGTATATTCCAAATAAAATGTGTGCTTACACATGACTTTAAACACCTATTTGACTGTACAAGATATTGGTGTTCTCACTGGAGGCAGTGATGTGACCATTTGCCATCATACTTTCTTGATTTGACATTTGAAAGTGGTTCCTGCTGCACCATACCAGTAATATCTAAGCACGTTGTAGTCAGTATTTAAGCAGTCTGTGAAATTTGAATTGGTCCCATTATTTCATATGCTACTATAAGTATACCTAACTATATTTATAAATACCACATTTATAAAATGTGGTATTCTCCCTGTATTCTATTCCATACATAACTATCATCCGTTTAGGACAGAGACAGAGATCTATGTATTGGGCATTAACAAAAATAATAATGGTGAAGACATTCACATGATTATATGTGTCTGGACGCTGAAAGAATCCTTCCCTAGCTACACACTTCATTTTTCGAGTTCCAGAATTGACTGTACACCTTACTAAATACAATTCAAGCAGGAGAGAACATAGAGGGCTCTGAAATATGTGAGGGTTAGAAGAAAGCATTTCTGCAGTTTTGTACCTGGATTTTTTTGTTAACGTGTATTGATTTACCTTAATATGAGTGAATTAAAAGTGGAACAGTTAAACACAGTGCTTGCTTAAATGCAAAATCAGTGTGGGCTCTTTGATACAGGGGTCCACCTGTCATTTGTAGTGATTCCCTGATTGGGAATTTTGGGCTATGCCTGTGAGTTCTTCATGATGGAATCCAGCTCCTTTTCCCACCTTGTATCACTGCTACAGTTTAGTAGAAGTTCTGATAATAATGCAGATTAACTTGGGTGGGGTGGAGGAAAAGTCTGTTCCAGGAAGTGTATAGAGGAGACTGAGTGGAGCCTATCAGATAAACTGAAAGGACACATTTCTGGTCACTTCAACAGCAATGCCACTTGAAGACAGACTGACCTCTTGAACTGAACAGGCTGACATCTGTGCTTCTAGTTTTGTAGCAGGAAGCTCAAAGCAGGGCTCAGGCTGAGTTGCTCGTGTGTCAAGTTCATCCCATTGCACCAACCAAGTGCAAATTACCAAGCCCTTCCCAAGTCTATGTACTGCTATGAAGTAATAGCAAACTGACCAGGACTAGCTTCTTTTTTTTACATGCACATGCTATGAAATGCTGCACCTTTTCTCCAAGATGGCTTTGACCATCAAAATGAAAATATAAACATTAAATCAGCAGGAATATCACCACAGAATCTCAGAAGGGTTTTGATATAGTAACAGAATACATCTAGGTCACTTGTCTAAAGCATCTAAGAAACAGGCACTAAGTATATTTACACAAACTAAACATTGAAATACAAAACCAATTCACAAATGTTCATCTATACTTCATTTCCTCAGAACAGAATAAAGAGGTTTTCCCTGACAAGCAATTTTTAATGTGTTAGGAAAGCGAAGACCACAACTTTGGGTGGTGGCAGAACTAGACTGTAACAGGACATGGGATCTTTTGGGGCTCATACAGTGAAAAAGCTTCATACAAATGTAATTAAATGTTTTTTTTTTGGGGAAGTACAATTTAAAAAAATAGGCCCTTCACCCTCATAGGCCCACAGTCTTCACCACAATATGGAGGAGATTTGACTTCACCAATTGCTTAAAAACCATGATAGTAGTGCCAGATTAACAATACCTGAAACTTTATCTGCAAAGCCCCTAGAAATTAGTAGGTTTAGGTGATGAATGATGAGGTGGTGCCAAATGTCTTTTACTAGCAGCCACCCTGTAGCAGTATTGTTGTGCACTTAGTCAAAGAACTACCCTTCAAAGTGGTGTTTCACCTGATGCACTAGGAAACATCTCTTTGTTTGAAAGCAGCCCACTATGGAGGTTTTTCAATGTTAACCCCTTTGAAAACACAATCTGGAGCAAGGCTGGACATCACAAATGCATAGTAAATGCTGAAGTCGTCAATGAGCTGGTGATGACTGACAGCCTAAGTGCAGGAGAAAAAGATCATGGAGTCATTTAGTCATAGGTTAAATTTTCAAAGAACACCACATAATCTGCTGAGTTCAGTAATTCCAGTGATATTCCAGGCCTTGCTCTCTTAGAGATGCCAATGATTGCTTGCTTTCTGTCCTGAAAACACCCCCAGAGAACTTGGGTGGCACCCTGACATTTCTTACTGTAGGAATACAAGGATTGCAGGAACACAAAGTGGGGAAGGGACTCTCCAAACTTCTTTGGTCAGCAGGTCACAGGCATTTTGTTTAAAGTTTTGCAATAGTTATGTTTTGACCTAATTTTTAAATTTTGTATTATATAAGGCATGAAAGCACTGACTAGTTAAAACTTCTGAAAAATACTAAATATTTTCTCAGAAAGTTCTAAGACTTGTCAAGATAATGAGTTCATTAAGTAGTGCACACTCAGTTGCCTTCTTTCGAGTTACTACTTTCAGTAAATTGGGTTTGTTAAGCTATCTGTTCATGCTTTGATGTCCCATTCTTTTGACCAGAGAAGTGGTGGGTTATGGGCAGTTACCTTGTAACCAAATCTAGAGCAGAAAATTGCCCTGTCATGTGTACAAAACATTTGTCTCTGTCAGTATTCCTGTAAAGTAGATCCTGTGACCTCTTTCATAATAAACCCCATTGTCTAGCATCTACAATAAAGGCCTGAAGTTCACCTTGAAATGGACTGATTTTATAGAGTGTGATCAAATACAACACTGTATTTCTGTGATAGTTCAAGACCTAACAGTGGCCTTTCTGTAACTTTTTTCCCCCTTAAACCTGTCCACCTTGCCAGTTCCACAGTACACAACCACTGCCGAAAGAAGAGGTTTGTCTGTATTATTGTAGCTACTGCAAAAAAAAAATAAAAATCTATTGCTTTCTCAAAAGTCTGTGCTTATGAAGCCTTGATATAGGAATTCCTTGAAGAACACTGTCATATAATGTAAACTTTGTAATACATTACAAATTAAAGTATTGCCTTATGGCAATATGGTTTGAGAGTTAGAATGTGTTTTGCTAATTTCTTAAAAGGTAATGGAATTACACTGGGTTGTTTTAACTTCTGTTCTTAGTTGGTCTCACTTCTGGTTGGCTGTGCATTAACATCATGTTCTTTTTCCACAGAGAGGTGCTTGGAAGATCATGAGCTCATAGTTCAAGTTGAATCCACCATGGGAAGTGAAAGTAAATTTTTGTTCAGGAAGAATTACGCAAAATACGAATTTTTCAAAAATCCCATGGTGAGTCTCATTACTTGGTTGTTTACACCACAGAGGGGTGGATTGCAATAACATTGCTGGGCACTGTTATGTCTTAAACATTTATTATAAAAAAAACAGGCAACCAACTGACAGAATTCTTTCCAAAAAAATTTTAACCAATGTTTAAATTCTGTCTACTTTCCTCCTAGCTTAAAAACCTCAAGTGTTTTCAAAATGTTGTTTCAAAATGTCTGTAGTTACATTGGAGAGTGACCAAGACAGGGAAATGTTCATTAGTTCAAGAAAAACAATCAGAAGTGCAATTTACTCATTATTGTCAAAGTTACTTGTTTCAAAGCAAATTCATCACATAACAAGCAGTATCTAAACCTTTTAATTTCTGACTGTAATAATTAATAAAGCACCAAACCCATCTGGGTGACCCCTAAAGCACTTACTCCATACAAGGAATTTCCAGTTTATTGTTAAATATATCGAGCATTTTTCACCTATGGCTCTGCTTTACTAGTGTGCTCTGCCTTCTTTACTGATCACAGTAGCTTGCCCTCTATATCCCCAGTATACTCATGCTTGAAAAGTACTGCATGCCATACCTATTCCTGGATTTTTAAGATCTTTTGAATGTTGTCATTTTAAGCTGGTTACTGTGTAACTTCTTATCTGAGGAAGACTTTTTCACATTTTATCCAAACGATTATGTTGGAGCAGACTGTTGTCATGAATCAGTGTCAGCTGACAGCTGGTGCATCCCATTGAGATAGCTGAGGAAGGGTAATCCAGAGGTGGTTAGGTAAGAACAGATTTTGGGTCAGTCAGGCATCTGTGGTGCAAGAAGGAAAAAAGATACATGAGGTCATGTTTAAACTCACTGCTGAAGTAACTGCGCATGATAAATTAATTCCTCTCCTCATAGATGCAAGTGCACAGTTGCTGCATCCTCACACGTGTGCTTGCATGTACATTTGTCATCTGCTGGTGCTTATTTCAGAGTCTGTGCCTTGACTTACTCTGTGAAACATTTCTGTACATGGAGTGTTCCTAGTTTTTCACTTCTGTTGATCTCACCATCTGATAACCCATGAACATCTGAGCGTTGTACAAAAGTTTTGGTATCATAGGAGCTAGAGCATTAGTTTCATGTGGTATATTTTAATTAATAACAGAGCATGGGAGTAAAACCCAGAATGCTTGGCATTCAGTCCCAGGCTCCTGCAATCACAGAATAAATCATTCTTGTGGTGTAAGAATGCGAAGGCTCCCTATCCGTTGCATTAGCTGTTGCCATATGGCACTGTTTCTACTCAAGAGAGGCTGGTAAATGTTAGCTTTCATAACTCATTGTGCAACTTACCTGGCAGAAGGGTGATCCCTCTTCAGCCCTTCTCTTTATGCCCTAAAGACTGAAATTTATATTGCCCGAAGAGTGACAAATGTTCTAAACTGGAAATGTTTTTGTTGTGATTCATCTTGTTACAATCAGTCATTGTTTTGTTTCAGGCATTTCTGGATGTCTCCATGCTTCAAATAATGTTTAAAAACTCCAAGAATTATTTCCTGTCATTGCTTTGTGTAGTAAATTCAGTGTACCAAATTATACGTGAATTTTAAAACATAGCAGATGAAAGGGGAACTGGAGGAATAAATCTGAAGTCAAGTCATTGGTGCAATAAGCGAGGAGTCACTGCATGCTCAACTTGCAGGACCATTCATCCTTATCTTCCCAAGAAAGTAGAGGCTGTTAGAGATCCCCAAAAGTCCTAGGTAGAAGAGGAAGTGAGAGGAAAATGCACTTAGGAAATGATGCATAACAGATATTTTAAAAACCCGCAATCTGTCTGCATGGGCATCTGGTGAGCAGAAGGAAGGGGAGAACTGCACTTGAAAAGCCCTAATATTACTTTCTGTGTCAGGGGATCTCCAAATTGATTTAATAATGATAGTTCCAAAAAATTAATGACTGGAAGAAAATGTCACTAGTTCTCTATAAGTGTTTAAATATAGTGTGACTTCCAATTGTCTTCTTTTTGTGTCTAGAATTTCTTTCCCGAACAAATGGTTGCCTGGTGCCAGCAAACAAATGGCAGTATCCCACAGTCACAACTTTTGCAGGTACTGTAAATTATCTGTATGGACAAAGAAGGTGAAGGTGGCGGGGTGGGGGGGCGGGTAGGGGGTGTTGAGAGGCAGGCAGGAAGGAAGAGAATTCAAAAATGTGGAAAATAGTCAGAGAAAGACCAGTACAGTCAAATAGCACGTGGGGCTAATGTTGAAAATACTTGACAAAGATCTTAACCAGTGGCATTGAGGTGTAAATTGTAAACACAAAGTATTCATAGCTATGGTCATACATATTTGTTCCATTAATACTCAACTTACTCTGTGGGTGTCTGGTTTAGCCACCTGTTGTTACTTGCAAACACTCTTGGCAGGTATATTTGTAGAAAAACAAATACAGATTTTATAAAAGGCAGAACAGGAGTACTCTTCTGTACTCCACATCATAGCACAGGAGAAAGTGTAAAAATGCCAGTGGATATTAGAAGATGAGTTTGAGATGATGAGAGGTTTTGCTTTTGCTTTTTGTGTCCCATGTTTGTGCCTGGCAAGAATTAACAATAAGGACCAACTTCCCCATGGTTCAGCCAACTAGCTGCTCTTTTGTATAGAAAAATAATGCCCTAAGAAGTAGTGCAAGTAGAAATTCGTACACAGTATTTGCAAAGTAATCCCATTTAAAGCTCCCTGGGTTAAATTGCAGGGGTGTGTTCCTTACGCATACGTGTTGGTAGAGTTGTGCAATCTGTGTGGTGGTAGCACGTGCGCTGCATTTATGCTGAAGTTCTGGTGTCACTCTACAGTTTCGTGCTTGCTCATAAAGGAATGGGGTGGTGGCATGGTTGGTTGGCCTTCAAGGATTGTGCTGGAGGGTGGGCTACCTCTCTGACCAGTAACTGATTTACTTAAATCTCTTCATTTTAGCACTCCAATCTATGCCTCATAGTCTGTAAATCCTTTTCACTTCACTTGTTTTCTCAACCTGTGGGCATTCAACTCCAGAGCAAAATTAAAACACAATTTATTAAAGAAGTACTGTGCTAAGAACATATGACCATGATGCCTGGAAGACAGTATCATGAATAACAGGCAAATTATAGAGCAGAAGCAGAAATATATGAAGAATATAAACATACACGTAACTGATTTTAGCTTGATTTCTGTAATTTTGCATGTTTGCAAATATATACTGACTCTCTGTTTAAAGACAAGTTTCCACTGACTTTTGATCCAGTGCAATTGTTTTGTCTCACAACCATACTGTAGTCCATTAAAATCTGGTTCCACATTCACTGAGAAGAATTTAAAACATGAGCATCACTTATGTCTGGGAAACAATCAAACAAAAAAAAAAAATCAAGCCCTCTGGAATTATAAATGAAAGTCATGTGCAGTGAGGTTGTAATCAGGAACCAAAACTGGCATGGACTGGCATTGCCACAGACAGGTAGGAAGGGAGGTCTTCACACCTTGGACCTTTCTTCCTATAATTTAAGTGGAGATTTGAAGTTGCTTGTTAATATGAGCAGCGGGACTCCCCAAAAGACAAGATGTTCTTGAAGATGGAAAAGTTTTGAGGGTACCTCATGTGGCAGCAAAAGGAAAACCTTGCAGCTTCATGAGGTATGAGTTTCCTTCTTGGGAGGCTCAGAAAAGGACAGTCCTGAAGAAGCATAAGTCATAGGAGTTAACAACACAAGAGGGTGGGGGAAAAAAGGTGAGCATATTCCCTCTAGTTCATTGTTTACCCTTAAAAAACCTATTTTTGTTCCAATTTTTATATTAAGTACTTCTTTTGAAAAACACACAACCATTTTTCAGAATTTCAATGGCATTTGTAATTTATTCAAGATAAACCTCCTTCAGCCTAGTAGTCATTAAGCATGTTGCAGCTGAGGCCTCTTAGACACTGAGCAATTTTGCTGGTTTTAATTACACACGTGACAGGGAAGAATATTAAATATCATTTCATGATATCATATACTGCATTAAGAGCTAGTATTTTTAGTCATGACAGTAGCATTAAAACCAGTGGGATCTGTTTTCCCAAGTGTTGACCTGGCTCTGACATACAAGAAAGCTTGCCATCTTAGTTTACTTTTGTTTTAACTGACTGGACAAAAAGAATCTGTTCTCCTTTTGGTCTTTCCATTTCACAGCTGACAAGTGGATTCATAGTACAAACAACAAGAAAATTGATTGTTCTTTCCCATTCTGTTAGATGAGATGAGGAGGAGGACTGGAAAAAAAATTAGGGTTTAATGGAAGTAAGAATTCTGACACAGGGTGCTGGTTTTGGTTTTGTTTCCTATGGGCATTGTCCATACCAAAACACAACTTTGCAGAATTGCTGAGACATCTAGGCTAACCAGGTTTATGCATTTTTCTTCATACTTATTGAATTTGTTAATTTGGCATTTAACCTAATGATGAAGTCCTCTTGTGCATTTAAAAACCTGTCCTGTTGTAATAAGGGAGCAATCCATCAGTTCTCCTCCCATAATTAATTCTTCCTTCCTGTGATATATCAGAAATCAAATTTTGTATGTGGTTCCTCAGCTGATGTCAAGAACTTAAATGCTTTTCAATCCTGAGGTCTGATATAATTGCTGGCACTTACTTGACTGCTCTACATTTAATTTTCAGTTAAATACTCTGTTGTCTGTTATACCTCTTGTCTTGGGACAACATGAAATCCCTAAATAGGCTCTTCCCTTTCAAAAACTTGAGGACAAAGACGGAGATTTTGGCCAATGTTTCCAAGTTAGACAATTTGCCACAATTGCTGTGACAGGGTATTATTTTAAGAATTAATAAGCTCACTTTCTCTCCCTTCAGGCCAGGTGCAAGACAAATGGGAATACAGAGAAGCAGTAGCTTTTTTGAGATTTAAGTCTTGACGCAGAGAATAGGAAGGTGTCAGTTGCAGGAGGAGATGGCCAGGTAGACAGAATGGAGGAGCGGGAATGATATGTTTTGGTCATAAACCAGATTAAACATGTAGGTCAGTTTAAGCCTAGTGTGAAACTGCACCTCAAGTCAGCAAAGTGATTTATTCTCCATTCTGCAAATACAGCGACAATTTTACAATTCATCCATAGGATACAATGTTGATCTACATTTTCCTCTCCAACAGAACTTTTTAAACTCCAGTAGCTGCCCTGAAATTCAAGGTTTCTTGCATGTGAAAGAGCTGGGTAGGAAATCATGGAAGAAACTGTTTATGTGTTTGAGGAGATCAGGACTTTATTGTTCTACAAAAGGAACGTCAAAGGTAAGATTAGAAAAGAAGTTGCACAGTACTAGCATGTGAAAGCATTTTCTGCTTTTACAGTGGGTATTTTTTGCTGTTTTTTAAAAATCTCCACACAGTGTTCCCATTTTTGGTTACACAGAAAAAGCTAAGTAAGGGATGATCAAATGGCAGTTGAGCTCTGGGCTCTCAATGCATGAACACAACCATAGAGTTTCATTATAAAATAAAAACAAACCAGCCAGGCAACATCATTGTGGCCACTAAAGTTGTGCTAACCTTCAGATTTCTGTGGACCAATGTAATAGGCCAGGCCATTTTTAATATGATGGGTTTGCATAAGTATTTTGTGAGCTTCCTGTACCAAGCACTTTCTGCTGGTAGGCTGGTATTTAAGGAGTGCGTGCCATGGCCACTTGAGGCTGCCTGGGAGAGGAGCAGTGTTCGTGCACTGCCCTCTGTTGGAGGCTGAGCTTGAGAGACTGCAGAGCTTGCACATCTTCCAAAACCTTTCACTTACCTGTGCTAAATCATGTTATTTCCCTAGGAGCCAAGACATTTGCAGTTGTTGGCTGACCTAGAAGACAGCAATATCTTCTCGTTGATAGCAGGCAAGAAGCTATACAATGCTCCTGCAGAGTATGGATTTTGTATAAAGGTAAATCTTCTCACCGAGTTCTTCCAGACGGTGTTGGTAGCTCAGTCACCCCAACCCCCAGCTAAATGGAATTTGTATGTAAAAACTCTGCAAGCCATTTCTGTCACAAGGACTTGATCTTTAACATCTTTCATTTGGCAAGCGTGTCCTGTGAATCTTGCCATCATTTTTTGTGACACTTTTAACACTTTATCTGGTGCTCCTTTGGTTTGGGAAATTTTTGTGCAAGAGCAGCTCAGAGCTGAAGCATGGTGTGCTTGTGAGATGGCCTTGGTTCACCTCACAGATGAAAGCTTTTCCAAAGTTCACTAATCAAACAGAAGAGCTGCTGTGGACAGTAAGCACCAAAACTATACAGCAGCAAAGGATCAAGCTCTGATGGGGCGCAATTTTATTATTATTGTGGGCCAGAAGTTTGCCTTTATTAAAGTGTCTTGGAAAAATGGAAAAATAAATGTAAGAAAAACCATTTGCCTTTGAAGATTTTTTAAACTGTTGTGTTGAAAGATTCACTTGGAAAATATTTCAAAGGTTTGAAAAGTGTAATTTTCTGAGAAGAAAATAAGACTGGGAGCTGGTTTTATGGCAGTAGTGAAGTCGTCTCCTTCCTAGCAGCCATTCCAGAGCTAGACAGCAAGAGTTTGCATCAAAGAGACTGGCTGCAGGACGCATCCTGAACTGATGGAAGCAAACTTTCAGTTACCCTCAGTTATGGAAACTTTCATCCTTCATTTCAAAATGGGGGTTTATAAAACTTCTCACAAATTTGAAAACAAAAAATTAAAAAAAAACAAACAACCAAGCCAAAACAACAACAACAAAACCTCAAAAAAAAAAAACCAAAAAAACCCAAACAAACAAATAAACCTCTCTAACTACCGAACCCAGCAAAACTAAGTGCCCAGGTCTGGTTCTAGCATGGCCAAAATATCTTTTTCCTATGAACTGCTAGGACTGCAGGTTATTTCAAGCCATACAATCATAGAAAACCCTGAGTTGGAGGGGGCCTACAAGGATCAATGACCCCATCTTCTAAAAGTCAGGAGGCACCAACATTTGATCTTGTTGGACCCAGCTGAGAGAGTGATTTCCTTCAGAGCATGCTCAGCCTCTCCTGAGCTTTAAATTCAGTGTGGTGGGAGCTTTTTCTGGCTAGTTCTTAGACTAACACTGTAGCTGCCTTTACCCTGCTTACAGTGATTCGAAGCTTACAGCGTTGTTGGTTTTCTAATGAATGTATCTGACTTCTAATCTCTTAATACTTTAAAGCCAAACAGAGTGAGAAATGAAACTAAGGAACTGCGGTTGTTGTGTGCTGAAGACGAGCAAAGCAGGACGTGCTGGATGACTGCCTTTCGACTCCTCAAGGTAGCTAATCTCTTCTACTTTCGCAAAGCTACACCTAGAGTTAAGTGGCATTTGTTATTTTGTTAATGAGAAATTACCTATATGTTCTTAAATATCATCTGCTCCAAAACAATACTGATAAGAGCAAAATGCCAAGCAGACCTGTCCCACCTAAGAATTTAAGCACGGGACTAAGATCTATTCCTTCACATATGAATCAAGTATAGTTTTAGTTTGGGATCCAAATCTGAGATATGAGAACAAATTAAAAAACCTACTTAACATGGTATTTTCAAGTTATCATAAAGTTAAAGAAAATGTTTTTTATAATAGTAAGTGGTTCCCTTTACCAGAACAGCATTCCTTTAGCAATTTTTTTCCATTTTTTCCATTTTTCTATTAGAAGAGGTAACAAAAATAAGTAACCCTATATCTGGATGAAAGTTACTCATATCTGAGAGCATGCAATGAAACTTCTTGATAATATGATAGGAGGTTTCACTGCTTTTTGAAACAAAATCAGGATGGACGGAACTAAGGAGAAAGCTGACTATTTGGTGCCCTTTGAAGGGGGGAACTTCCTGATCTTCATAGAAAAATGTGCATAAATTCTGGTTTGGTTCCAAATTTTTTCTGAATGTTCTGCTTTGAAAACTGCTGTGTTTTTCTCTCTACCTTACTACATCCTATGTACTGAAAAAAAAAAGACTTTGTTTTTAAGACACACCAAAAGATGATTAAAGGTGTACAGTCAGCGAAAATTAAGGCTTTGCCCCAAGGCTATATCTATAATGCTCCTTTTTATTCACCATCTCATTTAGCTTTCCATAGTCCTATATTACCCTGTTTGGAAATTGTATAAACTGTTTCAGTTAGAACATTCAGTAAGCAATGTTGCTCTCCTTCAGCACTGTGCCTCTAAGGAAGGCACTGAGTAGCTGTTTACCTATCCTAACTACAAGTGTTGCTAAAATTCATCATGTTCAACCAAGAGCATGACTGGAATTCAATAATCTTATTTTTTTTAAGATAAGTACCAAGTGACAGTGAAATTTATTGGAAGAGCTAGTGAATTAGAAATGTTCTTATTTTTTATCATTATGAAAACTGAGTTTGAATGTCTTGTGCAGAATTTCTTTAAGTTCTAGAGGGTGAAAAGAAGGGAATTAATATGTGTGTTCTGATCTCCACTGAAAGCTTGTGTTCTACAAGGAAAACATGATTGTAGCTGAGAGTGGCAAAAATAACCTGTGTATATCACTCAAGCTTGTATTTTTTAAAATAAAACTTTTTGTGCATATTTACTCTTTGCCACCTGCCAATCACTATTACTCAATACAAATGGATTTGGGACCTTGATCTAATATAAAAGTGGTATTAAGAAATCACTACAGGTTTTTTTTTCTAGGGCATATATTTGAATAATAATGTCCTTGTGTTTCTGTTGGCAGTATGGAATGCTACTGTATCAGAATTACAGAATTCCCCAGCAGCGAAAAGCCATGCTTCCACACTTTTCCACTCCAGTAGTAAGTGATGAACTTTACCTCACTGATGTATGATGTTGGAAAAAATACATTTGCTTTTGCATTTTAAAAGTGGAAAATTTTACGCTATAAAATGTAAATTCAGCATTGTGTAGCAAATCAATGTAAAGTTCATGTTTTGCATGAGTACAGTTTTTGTGGTTGGCTCTCCATTATCTTAGGCTTACATGATCCACATGATTGAAAAATCTTGGCTACGTCACGCTCTTTGAGATGTACGGCACAGAGAGACATCTGGCTGTCTCTGCAGAAGCCAGCTTAGGTCTGGCAAAACTAACACGTAGATTTCCTAAAATATGTTGGGCCAAGAGCTGACTGTTAACTACCTAAAAGGGAAGAGCCTATATTTGGATCCCAACTGGCCCTGAAAATGACTGGAATATAGTAATAGGGCAAGTGGGCAACTTGAGCAAACAGATTTTATTCTGAGCCTTTGAATCGTCTCCCTCCCCTGCAGTTGAAAAAACATCTATTTTTGTGTCTGTGAACCTTTTGAAAGGAGAAAAAAATGAGATGTATTTTCTGTGCTGTTGAAGGAGGACTTTGGACAGTCTTCTGAAACCAAAACAGTTTGAAGTGAAACTCTCAAGCTGGTTTTTCCTTTCCCTGTTTTTTGAAACAAGTGAAAATTCCTTTTCAGAGAAGTGTATCTGAAAACTCACTAGTAGCAATGGATTTTTCGGGGCAAATAGGAAGAGTTATTGAAAATCCTGCTGAAGCACAGAGTGCTGCCTTGGAAGAAGGACATGCTTGGAGGGTAGCTATCTTCTCTTCTTTTCTATTTTTGCAATCAGTAAGTGTCTGTTGAGAGCCAAAACACAGAGTGTGCTATGATGTTAGTGCAGTGCTGGTCACAGTATAGCTTAGCTCCGACCTGAAGCAATCACACTGCAAGCATGCAGATCTGAAAGTCAATATCCATCTTTAGCAAAACTGTCACATTCACAACAACCTTCTACCACTGCTTCTCTGTCCCCCTAGTGTCCAGAGGAAAGTTGAGGGGGAAAGCAGACCCACCAGAACTTTACTGCCAGTTTGCAAAACCAGTCTCTGAGGAGGAATATGTCAAATTAAATGCTTCCCCACATGGAAGAGGCTGGGGCTCTGACTAATGGCTTGCTCCCAGTAAGTTTAATTGCAGAATATACAAGAGGCAGGACCTCTTGCAATGAAAACTGATGTAACTTGTTTATAGTGTCTTGTGGACAGACAGCTGCAGTACAAGTTTTCCCACATGCTCGTCTTTTAGGGAAAAGGAGTCATTACTGAAGCATTAGCTGGTGCTTTATGTACGGGAGGGAAATACTGCTTGATTTACTGAGTGCCTGGTGTTTTGCCTGAGCAGAAACATATCAGTCTTTACTTTTTTTTCTGTCTTTTTTTTCCTTTTCTTTTTTTAAGATACTGAGCTTTCATCATTAACATCTGGCTCATGTTTTAAGCCAATTGAAATGAGCTGCTGCTTGTAGATTAGTCCCCTCCAAAGTTGCATTTCTTTTTCTTATCCTTGCATTAAATCTGCCCAGCCCCCAGTTTCCTGTAAATTTAATCTTTATTGCATGTGCACTAATTCTCTTCTCCCGAGATGTTAGTGTGGATTTAACGATAATTCATTTTCTCTATAGAAACGTAGCACAAGAATGAACATCTTGGGTAGCCAAAGTCCACTCCATCCTTCCACACTGAGTACAGGTAAATTCTGATGGTTTGTAGCCATAGTGTCAGAGGTCTCTGTGGGTAAAGAAAAGGTACATTTCATACAGACACAGAGTGCAGCCATGTAGTACGAATGCCTTGATGTCAAATACAATCCTTATCAGTAGCTCCTGTGTCATTAACATGCCTACCCATACAGACACCATAGAAGGAACTTGTTTTCCTTTGATGGCCCACTCAAACTTTTCTTTAGGACTAGTCTTTTAAAACTTGTATTTTGTAAAAATAGACACTCCATAAACATTTCCATTTAAAAGAATCCAGCAGTTAATTTGCCATTTGGGATAAGGAAAGTCAATGAGTAATCTTTTAATCTGTAAAGAGTAGAAATGAGAGTTTTCAAAATGGAATTTGTTCCATAATAACTGAAAAATATAAAATATGCAAGTCCTCAACATTTATTTGAGACTGTAAATTTATTAAAGCAACAAGAAATTTCATATTAATATCCTATACTTCTTGGAGGAAACACAGCTATTTTGTCTTGCTGTTTGTTAACAAAATTTTAAAATACCATTTGAAGAACAAAACAATAAAGATAAAAATATTGGGTGCTAACTCGACTCTTGAAAGCACCATCTAAAGTGCATTTTTTTATTTGAGATTTAGAGGGACTTCTTTCTAACTCATTAGTTCATACATTGAGTTCTAAGGAATGTTAGTCCCAGTATGTTCAAAAAGCTATGAGAAAGCAATATTACAAGAGACTTCTATCTTTTACCTAATTGTATATCTGCAAATTGGAAAACACATGGAGATATGATGCCTCTCTACTTGGTATATTAAGTAGATGCATTTTTTTATATTGATTCTTTTTTATATAGGTTGATGGAAGATACTTTATATTCTGTAAGAGATCTATACCCACTTTTAAAATGTTTAAATAATTAGTATGTGAAAAAAAATGGTTGCAAGTGTAACTGTTTTTAACCATCCTCTCCCTCTTTTTCCTCTCACCTCCAGTTATTCATAGGACACAGCACTGGTTTCACGGCAGAATCTCTAGAGAAGAATCTCACAGGATTATTAAGCAACAAGGGCTTGTAGATGGGTAGGTATTCTTGTTGCTCGGTATTTATGATCTGACAGTAAGCTTTATAGATGAGAGCACAACTTATGCTGTAATAGTTTACAGGTTTATGAGCATTTCTGAGTAACCTGATTGTTGAGTAGTCCCGTTATAACCTGCCTGGATTCCAAAAAGTCAGAGTGTGTGCTTGTAGGAGTGGATCCTAACTTTTAATTTGAAAAGTAAAATCTTAAAATACACTTAATTGTCTTTCTTTTTTTCCAGCAGAGGTAGTCAAGTTTTAGATGATAGAATTTGTAAATAGCTAATTCTTGTAATATGCGTTGAGGAGATATTTTTCAGGCAAAGCTGTACCTAACCATTTGCCAACAAATTTATAATCAGCCATCCGTGCTCTTCTGCATGAATCAGAGCAGCTAATGGTGCTTGCTCACTATTTCTGTTCTAGAGCAAAGAAATGCAAGTACCTGTTCCAGCACTCTCTTAAATGTCTGTGGTCGTATTTTAAGTATCTTCTGAGCATCTCTGTTTTGCTTATTTATACGGAGTTATGGTTGTTGCTTGAACTGCATTCAGCATTGTTGATTTGTAGGATGGGGAAAGCATGGTTGCCTTTGGTTCGCTGTCTTTATTCTCTCAGGGTTAAGGTAGAAACATCCATGTTGGCTTCACAGGAGACAGTGTAGTTCAAACCTTTCTTCAGCATTTTCTGATTCAGAAGCAACACTAATCTTTCTGAAGACTAAAATACATCAGGGAAGTAGAAATTGCTAGTGCATATATATTCATCAAGCAGTGTTTGCTTATTTTGGGGGGGTTTGTCTAGTCTAAGGCTAGACAGGGGGTTTTAGCTAAGCAGGTTCAACAGAAAAGAGAAGCTGAGATCACTGCTGACTTTTTGTGTTTCTGGTTTTCTCATGTTATAATCTTGGGCTCGTTTTGTTTTGTTGCCTTAGGAATCTGGTGGCCCATCCTTCTTGAGGCCTTTATGAACGTGTTCATGTGTTTGATGCTGTGTTAAATTTGTGCCTAATCAGCTTAGTCACTGTGGAATGTAAAAACTGGTTAATTTAGCCATAGTAAGGTCCACCAGCAGTGACAAAAGAACCAGGTTACCTATGTGTTCTGAGACAAGGATCAAGATTTTCAGGGTGGAAAGCTCTTGCCTGTGTTTTCCTGCTCTGTGTGTTCTTGAACAAAAGAAGGTAAAAATTAACAGTCTCCTGATGGTTCATGGAAGAGGCTCAATACTGCATACAAGCAACTGGTGCTGCTATCTTGGATATCTCTGGAAGTTCTTGCTGAGGATACATCTCACTTAATAGCCATTGTTTGTGTGCAAGCTGGTTGCTTGAGGTTGATTAAACAGTTGCAGCATCAGTTGTGCAGACCTTTGCTGTCTGCCACCAGCTTAGGATACCATGCCTGATATGAAACAGCTAGATGAAAAATAATTGAGAGATACCTGCATGAACTGCAGCAGCCACAGGGCAGGTATGGTCTTTCTCCCTCACATGGATGCTAATGTATAAAGGCTTTTGTCCCTTTTCCACACATTTGGTCTTCCTAGGATTACAATGGAACGTTCAAATATCATGCATGGTTTCTGAGAGTGGCAAGATATGCCTGTCCCTTACTACTGAACTCACTGGTTATGATGGTGCATTTTTCTGGTACTGACATTTCTTAATCAATTCTGAGGAGCTAGAGTAAAATCTTTTGGGTTCTTAAGACTACAAGCAGTTCTTTCAACTGCCCCTTGGAAAAGTGTGTTCCTTGTTTAGTGGTCAGCAATTAAAAGGCCTGCCCAGTCCTGTGCTCAGCCATCTCTCAAAATCCACTTGTGCTTCCTGCTATAAGCCTTCTGCCAAAGGTATATTCTTTTTTCCTGTGGCATGGAGAGGATCGGCTTCCTTAGTTCTTAAATATCAAGGGGAGGAAACAGGGTTTTTTGTCTAGCTTTTTTTCTCCTTTTCCCAGTATGAATGTTAAATAAAGTCCATTTGGGGTAGGACTTCAGTTTTGTGGGTTAACTTAAAAGTGACAGCTACGTGGTGTATGATGTTGGTAGCTGTATGCCTAATGTACATTTTTTTCCACATGCTGAGGGGAAAATACTGTGACTGTTCTAGAGGAAAAATCAGTGTGTGTTTTCCCATCTTGATAATTCGGAAGCTACTTTACTGGTAAATAATTTTAAGAAAGTATTGGCCTGTTTCTGTGCCACTGTAGCCATTTAACCGACACATAATTTTGCTGAGACTGGATTTCTGTGACCTGATGCAAGATATTGTAGTGAGATCAGATTCCCATATATTACTTTCCCATCTACAGAAATTCATATTTTCTCTAGAATTAAATTATAACATTTTCTTCATGAGAGTACATATCATTAATAGAAAGCTGAGTTAGAGGGAACCTTAAAAAAAGCCTCATAGGTACATTCTTAGGGGAAGAACTACCATCATGTATCTTGCACTTCTTGTTTCTTCATCTGTTAATGTTGCATAGTCATGGTATAATAATAGAAAGCAAATTGCCAGTTAGAATCACCTCTTAACGCCTCTAAAGAAGAGTTCAGCAGTGGCACACTATTGCTTAGTAGTACTGATTATTTAAAAACAAACAGATGGGGGTATTCAATTTGTTCTTAAAAATGTTCTCTCCTAGATTATTTCTTCTCCGGGACAGCCAAAGCAATCCAAAGGCATTTGTACTTACGTTATGCCATCATCAGAAAATAAAGCATTTTCAAATCTTGCCGGTAAGTAGATTATTTTTGATACTGATAAAAAACCTGAAATTTTAAACCATTAAGCTTTGCCAACATCTGAGGAGATCTCTTATTAATTACTGATTTAACTAACAAGGATGTTTCCATTAGCAAATATATAAGTGGATATTCTTTAGAATATTCTTTAATCAATCCAATGTCTGATTAAAATTATTGGTTAACATTGCTGGAAAACTATTGTAAGTCACTACATTACACAGGTCTGTCTAATGCACAGAACTTGTTTTCTGTGACTGTCAGAGACAACAGCAGCTGTTGTCTCCCTTCTCTCTTAAGCAAACGTACAACTTTGGGAAACTTTAAAAAGTTTTATCCTGGAGGTTATCCAATAATGTTGAGCTTCAAACAACATTACACAGAGATGTTGGAAAACAATTTGATTTTTATCTTGATCCAAAAAAGCATGAAAAATTTAAGATTATATTGACTTTTTTAGGTTTGTTCCAAACTCTCTTCTATGGTTTAGCCCGCCAATTTTACAAAAAGTTAACAAATCCTTTTAGGGTATTTTTGTTTTATCTAATGAATGCCAGTGCTTTCTGTACAACTTTCAATTACTCTGCCCACAAGTTTTCACTTTCATAAGCAAAATGTTACAAGCTGGGTTAAGGTATGTTTTTTCTAGTCCTGTGCATGGTTTCATAAAGAACTGCAGATACTGTGTTGTTTATGCAACCAAGTGCCAACCGAGTGCCCATCATTTATTTATGTCACACACTGGTGGTACTCTTAAGTTTTTCCACTTGTGTATCTCTTCATGTGCAGCCTAACTTGATATTTTGTTTTCCTAGTGTGAAGATGATGGACAGATATTTTTCAGTCTGGATGATGGGAACACCAAATTCAGTGATCTAATCCAGCTTGTTGAATTCTATCAACTAAACAAAGGAGTCTTGCCCTGCAAACTCAAACACCACTGCATCCGAGTGGCCTTATGACCTCAAATCTGATTCTTGCTGAAGACTGGATTTGATAGAAGAGTAATTGTAAGAGAACGTTGACACTGGGGAATTGGCAGATTTGTAAGTTGGTTAAAAAAATAAATATTATGCACCTTGGGACTCTGAAAGGGATGGATTCGACAGGTGCCAACAGACCAAGATTGCTGGTTTGTCTAACACCTAAGAGTGATTGCTGCTGAGTGTCCCAGCATCCCAAAACTGGGGGGAGGGTCTGTAAAACAATGAGTAAATTTGAAACAAAACTGGAAAATATCTTGGCTGGGCCACTTAACAGGAACAAGTGTGAAGAGAAATCTTTGAAAAGAACTCTTGCCCTGGAATAATCTTGACAATTAAGACTAGTGTGTTTACTTTTTGTATTGATCACTTTTTTTGCACTCCTACTTTGTTTCGGATATTGTATGCAGCCTATATTAGGAGCTGATGTGGCTTTTAAAATTCATGCAGGAGTTGGGTATTAATCTGCACCCTAAAATGTATGGAATGCTTCAGCCTAAAAGGATCTAGAAGAAAATCAAGAAGTGTGTGTGTGCGCGCGCGTATGTCTCAGTACTTCTCTGGAGACCTGAGGTTCAATGATCTGCCGATGTCTTTGAAGAAGCAATGAGGATACAATTCTAAAAGAACATACCACCAATATACGTACTCTTAAAACTGTTGACTTGTAGCATTATGGCTGTAGTATGTTGATGGCATATTAGTGGCATCCAGTCATGCAGAGACTGTATTAGATTCTATGCACAAATTTTTATTATTGGAGTGGTGGTTTGTTTTTTACAGCCTTTTGACTGTTTTCCTGAGGAAACTTACTGTTACTAAATAGAGTAGGACTGAATGACTACACTTGTATTTGAAACCACCATTTTTTGTGAGAAGATTCTTCTGCAGGTAGTCTTAGTATGACAAAATAAAAAAAAATTAAAACCAGTGTTTTTAGCTTTATAGCTCCTTGAATTTTCAGACTGTTTCAAAGAGCTCTTTCGATAGAGTAAAGCTACAGTGACACAACACTCTCCTGGGGATAGGGCATAAGAAGAACTGAACCCCTTCTGCTTCTTGTAGGGTAGTGAAAGTTTACATGGTGAGAAGGAACATGCTGGGAATAGAAACAGGTTTGTAAAGTAACTGCTGGCAATATCATCCATTGAGGTAACAGGTGATCCCTGTGTCATGTGTGCTACTGCACACCAGTACCTGTGGCAGACAAGCATGTATCTTGCTCTGGTTTGTCATCAGAACTACTTTATTGTTAATGTTTAAATGAATTCTTTAATGTTTACTCAATAATTCTTTCTGATGATAAATCAGTATTAAAGTCAGACAAGTCCCACATTGATCCTGCAGTTGCAACCAACCATTCCTTCAGCAACTGTCTGAAATGAAATAACTTCCCGGTGCTTGGTGCCATTTGCCACAGTGAGAAGTATTCCACCCTGGGAACTTGCAGAGTGTAGTGCAGAATGGAGCATTTGTAAAATGGTAAATTATCTACACAGGCTAGTTAATCCTTAATATTTGCCACTGGGTTTGAAATCCTAGCCATCTGAAAGGGTAAAGAAGGAAAACCAATCCTACACTTTTAGGTCTTCATGTAGTGTTAAGAATAGCTTAAGACAAACCATAACCTGCCTGAGTCGTCCATATCAGCTTAAACTATGTCAATGGTATAGAAACACTGTATTTTAGTTTACAGAACACATTTAGTATTTTTTTCCATTTAATGTCTAGATACTAAAAATGAAGAAACTTGATTTTGTTTTTAGTAGAAGCTGTTTTTGTTCTGTTTTGTTTTGTTTTGCTTTTTTTAATTGTACATAGTGAAATGAGTGTTCCTGCTTTCTAGACAATGTATTTTAAAACCTTGAAATTAAGCTAACTTAAGTCTGACTTCACTTTGCATGCTTCTATTTGGCCCCTATTAGGAGAAAAAAGATACTTGTATTGACTACATTACCAGTTTAATAAGACCATTTATGCTGTAGTTTTAAGTTTTTCTGTTTACATAGCTTAGTGACAACCATGCATTTTTCCCAGTAGGCAGATAGTATTTGCAGTGTTTCATATTTATAAAAAAAACAAACTTTGCATCTTATTTAAATTGAGAATAAAAGTTTGACTATGAACCATGATTTTTGTATGTAGATGGTTGACTTAGTATTTTGTACTCTTCCCAGCTAAAGTGAGCTGTTTTGAGAAAGTGACCACCTTCAAAGTGGCAACAATCTTACTTAAGCAGATCACTGCTTTGTCTTCTTTCTGCTGGAAAACAGTCAATGCCACCTTAGTTTTCCAACAGATTCAGCTGGCTGCCAGCTCAGAATACCAAGGACTGAAGGACATTTGACTCTTATTTTTGTATTTAAATGACATGAATGTAAAGGGGATGCTCAGGGTTGTTTTGGAGCCTGTTGAATTTTTATCTTTTTGCCTGTGATTTTATTTTCTAAATAAATACTTCATGTAGCAATCTTGAATATGTTGAGAAGGAAAATGCCAAACCATTTTGGTAATGAGGTTACTAGTTAAGTTATGTTACGATAGGTGTTAAAGTACAAAAAACTTTTTATTTGTTAATTAATCTTGAAGAAACACGTGCCTCAGTTTAGATGTTTTGTCTTATCTTTTCTGCACTAAATACCTGACAGTTTGACCAATCAATGCACCTTTCCAGTGGCAAGACTTGCTTATCGTAAATTATATTGTCACAATGCAAGATTTCGTGACTGTAAAATGGAATAAAGTTTAAAGTTTCAGGGAATGCAAAAGGTATTAACTTAAGAGACAAAACCTTTATTCAATATGCTTTGCTTCATACTGTAAATAGCTTTTTGGCTTGTGAACCTAATTGTAATCTTTCAGGTATTTTTGTACAAATAAGGGACTGATATTCTGTTTCTTGTAATTAGAAATAAACGTTAATACAATGCTATTCATTTTATATTGGAATGAATGTCGTCCTTTGGATATATCAGTACACTGTGTATCTCTTGCCTCAATTCAGGTTAATTGAGTAGGTCATGTTAAACAGTTTTTAAGAAGTGTGGAGACGAAAACACAATCCCCAAAATACGTTTATTCTGGCTGTTGTCCTTAATATTCCTACTAGGATAGACTGCATTTTATTTAGCAAAGAACTTATTCATTCCTTTTGTTTGAGAAAAATTACTGGGGATATTCTGCTATGATATTTACTGTATTCATTTGGGAAGGCTGCTACAATCGTATCAGAACACATTATGACCAACTTTCAGTTCATAAAGTTATAACTCATTGAAAATGCACACTCTGCATAAAACATTTATTGGCCTGATAGCTGTTGGATCAGAAAATTTCTCAATAGTACTTCCATAAAGCAGTTGTTTAGCCCTGTAGTTCTTGTATTTGAGTGGTCTGTCAGAATTTGGGTGGAAAAGCGTCATCTGCACAAAACACATCTTTACTTAAAAATTCCAGGGGGGTGGAGGAATGGGGTAGAGGGATTGATGGTTCTTTAGGCAGGTAGAAAAACAGAAGGTTGGGAATATTTCACTTTTATTTTTTTGGACACAATCCTTTCCTGTTTTCTCCTTGTTAATCCACAGAAGCCATCAAATGCATTCTGCTCTGGCTTCTGCATGAGCATTAATAGTATGAGTTAATTAATTAATTAATTAACAGCATGAGTTAATATGTTAACATGATGAAAAATCATTCATCAGCACATAGAGGCAGCATACTTCCTTTGTATTTTGATATTCCTCAGGGCTTTTTTCTATCTGGGCATGCATGTTAAAGTGCTTAGAATTCACAGATGCCTATTTATTGCTTGGCTAGAGGAGGCCATACCAACATTGAAACTGACTCCCGCTATGATCATTAAAGGTCACAGTAATTCTACACAAACCTGTTTAAAAAAACCCAAACAAACAAACAATACAAATCAAAACCAAAACCTCACCTTGCTTTATTGTATATATTGCATTTGGAACAGACAAGAAGATGGCATTAACAAAAAGCAACACGGTAAGAAGATCTCAGTAAGCCTGCCCCATGGCAAGGTAGTGCTGCCAGCATGTTTGTCCAAACTGCCCACCTCTGTGGCAGATGCAAAATGATACCTGTGAAATCTGGCCCTTGGCATTAGCAGTGGGTGCTGGTGCTATCAGAACATCACCAGTACAAAGTCAGTCTGGACCAGAAGTGGGTCTGTGTTACAGATTTTAATTACTTGCCTGATAGGTTTTTGCTTCTTTTCATTAGTTGCAGAACAACAGACATGATCAGACATCTGATCCCACATCAAGCATCCTAGCATGAAGTTCACCAGGCAAAACAGCTTAAATGCATTTGGACCTGTGAAAAAATTCCTATCAGACTCATGTTTTACAGCATGTGGCTGCAGGACTTTCATCCTGATACAAAGAACCCTTAAATTAGGATTCCTTTAATACTAAATTGTTGCTTCAGTCTGTACCTGCAAAACCGTATGAAAAATCACCAGATAAACCACTTTCCTTCAAGTTGAACTTTGGTCTTTGTTATTGCTAATTTAGTAATGCTTTAATCTGGTTTGTCAATGTCCAGTCTGTAGACTGCTTTGTGTCTCAGTCATTTTTTTCTAACATCTTGGAAACTTCAGTAACAATGTCAGCAGATGGAGAGAAAAGATACCTTCCTCTGAAATATCCATGCTGCCTTCATTTGGGTTGCTTCTGCATCCTAAATCTTAAGTCTTCCCTCCTTAACTTGAAGCACAATTTAATTAGTATTTGAAAATCCAATGTAACCACAATTATGTCCAAGGCCTATATGATTTTCATTAGATAGCGTGGTTAGGCACATCTGAGATTTGAAAATGAATTTGTTTGTGTAACACACATTGCAAACCCTTAGCCCAAAGCCAATTCTGCTCTAATTGCTCGTCATTTTGCACAGATACCAGCAGATGTTTTAGCAAGAAACACAGGTTCACACAGGACACTAAGCTGTGATTAACAGGATCTTAGAGCACTTGTTAGTTGCCCAGGTTTGTTATGCTTTTCTATAATCGTGTTTTTCATCCTTGGCTGCAAGATCCTGGTGCCAAAACTTGGGAATAGGAAGGCGCAATTACAAGCAGCTGCTGGCCCTGAGCAAAAATACAGCCTGGCTTTATGGGCTCTGAATCTCAGCTTGGCTGTGCTCAGAGGTACAACTCCTCAGAGCTCAGAAGAGAGACAGGGAGGGAAGTGGAAGGGAGAAAATAATTACTCTTGGGCAGTATTGTCAAGGGCTGGTTTGGGCTGTGACTAGGAGCACAGAGAAGACAGTGTTGTGATGCCAGGAGTGCTGCACACCGTTCCCTAAGAGTCAGTTTCTCCTTCCTCCCCCAAACTTGTGAAAACACTGCTGCACCGAGACTCCCATCGTATTTGCCCTTTGAAACATTCTCTGGAGGTGTTAGGACTAGCATCTCACATTACCAAGGAGAGAAACAGCAGTGGAATTGGTGTTCTCTACAGCCTGCCCATTCTCCAAAACAGCCTGTCCAACTGCCATTAGAAGAAAGGAAGGTGGGAGAATGGTAATATGGTTCTGCCAAGGACAATGATGATTAAAGCAAATGGCTAAGCACAGTCCTGAAAGAGTACAATATCATTGCTCCACAAAGAACCCTAAGCACATCCTATTTTAAAATTATTTAATTAGACCTTTTCATTATTTGATTTCTTTCCTAATACTTCTCTTTGCCGCTGAATTTGAGCATGATAATAATGTGCTCTGTGTCACTCTTACCAACTCCTAGTTTTCAAAAGCTACAGCACTCTCAGAATCAAAAACAAATATAGAAATTAACAAAGCTGTGAGGACTGGAGCTTCCTGAAAAGTAACTCCACAACACATCTAGTTCTGAAAGAATGTAAATTGGTAATTATAGAATTGGTGGACAGAAGACTTATTTGGGTTGGTTTCTTTTTTTTCACTAGACAGTAAGGTTTGTGAAAACAGCTGGCTGAACAAGGGTGAAAGTCGCTGAAGGCTCACAAAGTTTGCCTCAAAATACTTAAAATTAATTGCTGTAACAGGCATTTGACCTGCTCTGGAAAACAGACGGCTTCAGAGAAGCACATGTACCTGGGAAGGGATTGCATGCTCTCTCCCTAAAAGTGTAAGAGAGCAGGAACTCCAATGACAGCAGAAAAAGACTTAGGATGCAGTACAAATGGAAGACCAAACATGAAGGTCAGAGGAACAATCAAATATATAATAAAGCAGTTCCGTGAGCTAGTATAATAGATTTATAGATAAACATAGGCAGCTGAGTAGAAACAAAACAATTATGATATTTTTTGATACATAAGTCACCTGAAGTATGCAGAAGACCAGTTCAGGAAAACCAGAAGTATTTCTTCATAAACTGCTCATCTAATCTCTTGTATTGTCCACCACAAAATGTAGCACGTGGCAAAAGTTCACATGGCTTCACAAAAGGCTTCTATCACATCATGATAGAGAAAACTCAGCTGATGGATAATAACTACAAAAACCTTTTTCTCTGAAAGTCCATTGGTCATATGTCACCAAGTGCCAGGAGCAGTCTTCAGAGGAAGAATCATTGCTTGACAGCACATATGTAAGTACATCTTTCCTGCATGTCCACTAATAAGACAAGGGCTAGAGATACTTTTTATCTGATCCAGTAATGTGCCCACATGAGGGCTGGCTCTTACAGAAGTAGCAACTGAAGGCAGCACTTAAGACCTGAGGAACAACCAAGAAAACCTGCTCTACAGTCAACTGGAGGCTCCCTTTGACTGAATTAAGGCTGGCCTTAGTGAAACAGCTATGTAAGTATGGAATTTGCTTCCTACCACCTCACCCCAGGAAGTGATACCCGCAACAGCTTTCCTGTCCTCGTGCACCTTCCTCTGCTGCAGCCTGCCACTGGCAGGGTTTGCTGCGGGTGTGCGGGCTGCCACAGCACAGCTGAGCCCATCAGGGCTCTGAAGTTGTTCAAGAGCAGTGTCCGGCTTCATTCAAACTCAAAACTGGGTCATAATTGATCAGGACTGAGCTTTTGAGGTGTCCTCTAACATGAGCTTTAAACAGAGAATAGGTGATACTCCCTTTCCAGTCAGAAATGAGTATACTGTAAGTTGCATGGAAATGGGTATCCCTGGGCATTACTGTTCAGTGGTGCACAGGGATGTGACGTGAAGGGTTCTCCTGGGTAAAACACAGGTCTTCCTTACACCATTGACATCTGGGGAACAGAAGGGGGTGTGCACCTGCTCAAGCCAGGTGATTTTTCTTGCTGAAAGCTATGGTGCAGCCAGAGGGAGAGTGCTGTGCTGGGGTGGGCAGGCCAGGAGTGGGGGACACACTGGGAGCTGCCCAGGCTCTCCCAAGCCACCCACTGCTGTTCAGGCAGGGAGAGAATGAAAAGAGTAAATCACAGAATTTTTACGGTTGGAAGGGATCTCTGGAGATCATCCATTCCAATCCCCTGCCATGGCACAGTCACCTAGATCAGGTTACACACGAACGTGTCCAGGTGGGTTTTGACTGTCTGCAGACAGAGTCTCCACGACCTCTCTGGGCAGCCTTTTCCACCCTAAATGTAAAGAAGTTCTTTATGTTGAGGTGGAACTTCAACATAAAGTGTTGAAGTCACCTGTGTTTTAGCTTATGGCCATTGCTCCTCATCCTGACTCTGGGCACCACTGACAAGTCTGGCACCACCGCCCTGACACCGCCTTTGAGGCATTTCTGTGCACTGATGAGATCAAATGCTGGTGCCCAGCCCGGTTCCATGGGGGATCCTGCTGTCTCCAGGCGTCAGAGGCGGCTGGGCTCCGTGCTGCCCCAGGGAAGGGCTCACCAGGGCTGGCCCCGGGCAGCTGCTGCCCTGCGAGGGGCTGCGGATCGACAAGCGGGAGCTGGGGACAAGAGAACCCCATTTCGCTGATTTCTACTCTC